CCTCCTCCTCCTCCTCTCCGTCCTCCTCCTCCTCCACCCACCAGGCAAGGAGGGATGCAAATACTGCCCCAGCTGGCCTCCGAGCTTGAAGCTCCGTCCTTGCGGCCCTCCGAGGGGCAGGGGGCACTGCGTAAACACAAATTATCGACGTTCCACGCGGATCTCTTGGATCTGCGCTGGCGCGCCGGACGGCGCCGCTGGGGGGGGGGGCAGCGCAGATGCAAGACATCCGCGTGGAGCGCATGGGCCTCTTGGGTGCCTCTTGGGCCGTCTTGGATGCAGTGGACGCGGAAAAGGCAAACACGCCCAAAATTTCAGTTCCCCTTGTCCTTATTGGGCCTCCCTCGGGGTGCCTCTTGGGGCGTCTTCGGGGCCTTCGGGGGCTTTCTTGGCATGATGGGAGTCGTCTTGAAAGGCGTCTGCAGCCTCTGGGGGGCCCTGTTGGCCCCGGATCGCCAAAACCCCGTAAAAACACAAAGAAAACGACGCCCTGTCCCCCCATGCCCTGTCGAGGTCGCGGTCCCAGGCCCCCGGGCCTCGAGCACGGAATATATATATATATATATATATATATATATATATATATATATACATATATACATATAACGGCGCACCGGGTCCGGGGGCCCGGGGCCGGGACCTCGACCACAAATGTGCACCCCGGGGGCCCCGGAGGCTCGTCGGGGCTTGCCGGAGGCCTCCCCGGTCAGACAAGACGGCCCCAGAAACGCCCAAGACGGCCCAAGAAACTTCCAAGAGGCCTCCAAGAGGGCTCCGAGATGCTGAAGATGGCCTCCAGACGTCCAAGGACGCCCCCCAAGACGCCCCAAGAAGCCTCCAACATGCGTCCCAAGAGGGCCCCTAGACGCAAAAATTTGCCCATTCCCTTCGTAAAACGTACATTTTTCACAAAGTTGCCTTTTGGGCTTTCCGACATTACAGGACGGCCCAAGAGGCGCCCAAGACCGCCCCAAGACGGCCCAAGAAGCTCCCAAGAGTGCCCCAGGACAGCCCAAGAGGGCCCCAAAACGGCCCAAGAGGCGCCCAAGATGGCCCAAGAGGGCCCCAAGACGGGCCCAAGAGGGGGCCCAGAGGGGGACCACGAACCGCAAGCTCGAGCCTTCCGCCCCAAGAGGCCGCCAGCAGGCCCCAAGGAGGCCCATCAAGAGGCCCTAGGAGACCCCCAAGAGGCCCAAAGGAGGCCCCGAGAAGCCCCAAATCGGCCCCCAAAATGCTTCGGACCTGCTTCCAGGAGGCCCCCGACAGGTTCAGAGGCTCCCGAGAAGCTATGTCAAACTCCCAGGCGAGCGGCCGGACGAGGCCCCCCAAAAAATCCCAAGAGGGTTCCAGTATTTGGATCCTTCAGCGCTCTCTGGCCTTCTTCCCCCTGCCCCCTTCCCTGCGACTTTCGTTGACTCAAGCTCACCTCCTCTCCATTTCCTCTCTCTGCCTCTCTCTCTCTCTCTTTGTCTCTCTCTCTCTCTCTCTCTCCATCTCTCTCTCTCTCGCTCTCTCTCTCTCTCTCTCCTTCGCTCTCTGTCTGTCTGTCTCTCTCTCCCTCTCTTTCTCTCTCTCTCTCTCTCTCTTCCTTTCTCTCTCTTCCTTTCAGATTCCGTGTCCTTGCGACCTTCTGCAGTCCCCGACGTCGCCACGGCTGGATCCGCTCGAGCGTGTCTTGTGATGTGCGGCGGTGCGAAGCCCGTCCCACTGATCAAGGCACAGGTACGAAATGATGGGTCCATCATTTTTTGCCTTCCCATGTGCGTTTTCCCAATCGATTCCTGGGCCCGAGGTCGCAAAAATTACGACGTCGGAGGTCTGGGGAGGCGGGAAGCACGACCTGGACCTCCGACGTCTTGGAAAAATCACGACGGCGGTTTCGGTCAATTTTCGGCCTCCGGGGCCCCTCGCAGGGTCCCGGGACCGTCAGAAAACGACTCAGGATGAAAAAAAAAAAACATCCCCAGGAAGTCGTCGAGAGGTCCAGGGCCCGCGCACAACCCATGGCAACCGCCGCTACCTTCGTCGCCGCGATCGCCGTCGTCTTCATCGCCGCCGTCGTCGCCGTCCTCGGGTTCTGTTCGGACACCCTCTGGCCATCTCGTGGGGCATGCTGGGGGATTATCAGAGGCATCCGTGAGTATCCTGAGGGGCCCCGCGACTTCCCCCAGAGACTCTAACTACAGAAACTCCTTTCGCATTCCGGCCAGAAGCATCCAGAAACGATGTACATTAGCCCTGGCGGGGGGAATGATGGCGATGGTGATGTTCATGATGACGACGGTGACGATCCTAGCCAGAACCTAAGCGCGCGCGAAGCGCGCGCGTGGTTCTAGTATATATATATACATACATACATACATACATACATACATACATGTGTGTGCTTCCCCGGTGTAGCGCAGCACACAGGTAACCCAACAGCGGGTTGATCACCCGAAACGGGCTGCAAAACAACGACAATTGATTTACTTGCATGATGGGCCTCAGCATGACTTGGCGCGTTCGTGTTCCATGTGCTTCCCCTGTGCGGCACGCAGCGCACAGGTGACCCACCAACGGGTGAGTCGTCCGAAAACTGGCTGAGAGAAACCAGTTGCGTCACCTGCGTTCTGGGACTCAACATGAGTTGGTGCAATCATGCTCCACACGCTTCCCCTGTTTAGCGCGCCCGCACAAGTGACCCACGTCCTTCAGGCGACGCCCGCCCGCGAAGGAAGAACGCGACCGAGGGCAGCGGCGGCGCGCCCAAGGACGGCCAAAGGAGCCCTGCCTGGCCAACGTCTTTCGGGCCACGCCCGCCCGCAAATTGAGCCACGGGCGAAGACGAGGGCGACGCGCTGAAGGACGGCCGAGGGTACCCTCTTGTAGCCCGCGTCCTCAGCACCGCCCCCCAGGGGAGCGCCCCGCCGCGCAGCCGAGGGACGGCGCCCGCCCAAAGGGAACCCTGAGAGGCTGGCCAGTGGAAACGGCAGAGGGCAGGCCGCAAGGGGCGAGGACACTGGGGTACCCCAGAGAAGGCGCGCGTCCTTGCGTTGCGCGCTGCCTGTGCTCGGTGAACCCCTGTCAGAGCACGCGCGCTGAGAGAAATGGCGTCTCACGTTCGTTGCATCATCACTGCAGCTGGCGGGGCTCAGCGCCTCCCATTGCAACAGTCCGTCGGCCACGCGAGGAGAGGGGACTCGGGGGTAGGTGGCTCCCTGCAGCTGGTCGATCTCCAGAGTCCGACAGCCCGTGTGGATTCGATGGCGCAGTCGCCAGC